TTGTTACATAACTGCACTCAAAAACAAAACAATGTAAAACTTTAGATCATACAAGTCCACTTAGTCCTACTTCTTGTTCAGCCAATTGCTAAGACAAATAAGTTTGTTTACATTTACAGGAGATAATACTGCCCTCGTCATGTTTACCATGTCACCTGACAGTGAGAACAGACGTTTACATGGCACTTTTGTAGCTAGCGTTGCAAGGTATTTACGTGCCAGATAGGCTAAACATTCATATGCCTCTTCATGTTTCAGCCACCATTCCAGAGGACATCCTTCCATGACGATGATGCTTGTTAAAAATTTGTGACTGAACTCCTTGGAGTAGAATTGTGTCTCCTGTTCTGTTTTAGCCACATTCTGTCATATATTTCATGTTATAGCAATCTTGGATGATGACCCTGCACATGTCCATTTTAAGAACACTGTCACAGCAGATTTGACAAAATGCAAAGAAGGTACCAATGTGAGATTTCTAAGGATAGATACAGCACTCGACCCAAGGTTTAAGAATCTGAAGTGCCTTCCAAAATCTGAGAGGGACGAGGTGTGGAGAATACATTCAGTCTTAAAAGAAGAACAGGAGTACTTGTGGCACCTTAGAGACTAACAAATTTATTAGAGCATAAGCTTTCGTGGACTACAGCCCACTTCTTCGGATGCATATAAAAGAGCAACTCTACAATGCGGAAACTACAGAACCCAAACCACCAAAAAAGAAAATCAACCTTTGGCTGGTGGCATCTGACTCTGATGGTGAAAATGAACATGCGTCGATCTGCTCTGCTTTGGATCGTTATTGAGCAGAACCTGTCATCAGCATGGACGCATGTATTCTGGAATGGTGGTTGAAGTATGAAGAGACATATGAATCTTTAGCGCACCTGGCACATAAATATCTTGTGATGCTGGCTACAACAGTGCCATGCGAACACCTGTTCTCACTTTCAGGTGACATTGTAAACACAACATGGGCAGCATTATCTCCTGCAAATTGCAACCAAACTTGTTTGTCTGAGCGATTGGTTGAAGTAGGACTGAGTGGACTTGCAGGCTCTAAAGTTTTACATTGTTTTATTTTTGAATGCAGTTATTTTTTGTCCCTAATTCTACATTTGTAAGTTCAACTTTCATTATAAAGAAATTGCACTACAGTACAGTAACTCCTCACTTAAAGTCGTCCCAGTTAACATTGTTTGATTGTTACGTTGCTGATCAACTAGAGAACATGCTCGTTTAAAGTTGCGCAATGCTCCCTTATAACGTTGTTTGGCAGCAGCCTGCTTTGTCCACCGCTTGCAGGAAGAGCGCCCCGTTGCAGCCAGCTGGTGAGGGCTTGGAACCTGGATGGACCGGCAGCCTCCCTATCAGCTCCTCATTCCCCTACGTTCCCTGTGCGGCAGCCGCTCAGCAGGCTATCAAATGCCGGCAGTTCAGCTGTCCCTCCCCTCACTGCCATGTGCTGCTCCTGCCCTCTGCCTTGGAGCTGCTCCCCGGAGCCTCCATCTTGCTGTGCGGGGGATACGAGGGGGGAGAATAGGGTGGCTAATGTCAGGGTGTCCCCCTCCCCCTGCTCCCCACTTACCCCATCTTCCATAGAGGCAGGGCGGACACCCGACAGGGCTCGATGGAGGGAGCTTCCTGGCAGCTGCTGCCGTCTCAGCTTGTTGATCAACTTAGAAAGGCAGTGTACTTAAGAGTGGGGTCAGCCTACTTAAAGGAGCAATGCATAACTCTCTCTCACACACAGAGCGTGTCTCTGTCTGCCATGCTGTCTCCTCTCCCTCCATTTCTACTGCCTTATAGAATGTGAGGCTACATTAACAAGTTAAACCTTGAGGGCTCAGACAATTGCTAGTTCATCATTTAGCAGTAAGGCATTCACTGGGAAATATCCCACCCTCTGACTTTACCACCTCAACCAAGCTGCACAATCATCATTGCTGTGTACCAGAATTAAATTGTTTGTTTAATTCTGGATGTGTGTGTGTGTATGTGACCATATATATATATATGGTCTTTTGTCTGGTGAAAAAAATTTCCCTGGAACCTAAATCCCCCTATTTACATTAATTCTTATGGGGAAATTGGATTTGCTTAACATCGTTTCGCTTAACGTCGCATTTTTCAGGAACATAACTACATCGTTAAGTGAGGAGTTACTGTATTTGTATTAGGTGAATTGAAATAAACTATTTATTTTGTTTGTTACAGTGCAAATATTTGTAAAAAAAATAAATATACAGTGAGCACTGTATGCTCGGTATTCTGTGTTGTAATTGAAATCAATATATTGGAAAATGTAGAAAACATCCAAAAATATTTAAATAAATGGTATTCTATTATTGTTTAACAGTGCGATTAATCGCAATTAATTTTTTTAATCGTTTGACAGCCCTAATAGTTTTCCTTTGCAGAATAAGTGCTGGTTTGTGTTTTATATTCAATTTTCCTTGTACTGCAGTGCAGTTCATTGGTCTGTAATTACCAGGACCATCACAGTGCCTTTTTATATGAAAGTTAAATTTGCTACTCTCCAGTCCTCACACAGAGGGAATTATGTTAATTAAACTGAATTTTTTGTTAGCAGCTCAGCCATGTAAGTTCCTTTGGAACTCTGATTTTCACCATTTGGTCCAGCGACTTCTTGTTCTTTATCAGTTTATTCCAGCACCCCCTCTTCCGAAACCAAAGAATACCTCCAGCTTTATTATATGAAAAGTAGGGGTCTAGAGCATGTATCTCCAAAGGTTCCTTTGTGATTAAGAGAGATGCAAAGAATCAGCTGAGCTTTTCCAATTTTGCTCCCTTCTCCCCGATAGCCCAGGAAACCCAACAATTCTCTTGGAGGCTACCTGCTTCTAACGCAGTGGTTCCCAAACTTTAATGGCTCGCGAACCCCCTGCACCGCTTCCCGCTGCCCGCATTGGCCTGGGACGGCAAACCGCGGCCAGTGGGAGCCACGCTCGGTCAAACCTGCTGACGCAGCAGGTAAACAAACTGGCCCGGCCCGCCAGGATGCTTACCTTGGCAAGCCGCATGCCAGAGGTTGCCGACCCCTGATCTAATCCCTCAACCTGCTGTCTGTCTGGTTTTAGATTGTGAGCTCCTGGGGGCAGGGATTATGCCTTCTTCTCTATATGGAAAGCACTTATCACATGATGGGGTGCTACCACAAATAAAGAATAACTGTCCAGAGCCAAATCTTTCAGTTTTATTCCAATGTTGGCCATTTAACTAGTTTGCATTTAACTCAGGTGTGAATATACAGGCTGTGTCTTCAAAGAAAAATGTGTTTTAATCTTGAAAGAGATTTAGTATTCAAGTGAAATTCAAAAATCATATATCAGAGGGGTAGCCGTGTTAGTCTGAATCTGTAAAAGGCAACAGAGGGTCCTGTGGCACCATTAAGACTAACAGAAGTATTGGGAGCATACGCTTTCATGGGTAAGAACCTCACTTCTTCAGATGCAAGTGACCTCTTGCATCTGAAGAAGTGTGGTTCTTACCGACAAACGCTTTATGCTCCCAATACTTCTGTTAGTCTTAAAGGTGCCACAGGACCCTCTGTTGCTTTTTTCAAAAATCATACAATCAGAATTGGAAAAGACCTGACAGAAACAAGTTCCTGCTAGCTGTTTATAACAGCAGCACCCAGGAGCACAGCTAATGAGAACCTTCCATTATCAGTTACTATAGTGACCTAAACTCAGCACTGTCTACAAAAATCAAGTATGCGCATCTGTGTGGCAGAATAGGGAAATTATTCATTGTGTACAGCAAAAAACAAAACTGCACTGAAGATTAAAGCAAAATAAAGTGGCCATTCTTCTACGGGGAAACTTCAGCATTACAAAGGGGCAGGGAAGGGGCCTCATCACTAGATCGATAATAAACCATTGGTTTGTACAGTGGTAAGTTTCCTAAAAGTCAGGAAACCAGGAAGCCAAAGGAGGGGGAATTGTTCGGCCCAGTGATCAGCCCCCCTGCACTGCAATAACACGACGCTGCCCCCCTGGTCAGACAGCCTGAGCGCGACTCCCAGCCGGGCCCGGAGGGAAGCCTCGGCTCTGGACCGTGGCAGCTCGCCCAGCCCCCGGCACCGGAGACGTTTCTCGGCACATCTAGGGTGTATCCGCGGGCTCCGTCCTTGCCCGGGCTGTGCAGCGCCGAGCTCGGCCCGGCCTCTCGCGGGTTAGGCCCAGCGCGACTGCCGGGCAGGCTGGGGAGCCCGCGGGACTCACGGGGACGGTATGGGGGGCGCAGCCTGTGGCCCGGGCCAGCCCCGGACCTGCCGCCGCTGCCGCCTTGGGCCCACCTCGCCCGGCTCCTCCCAGGAGCCTCCGCCCGCTCCTTACCCCTTGTCGCTGGCCCGGCTCCGTCCCGCTTGCCGGTCCCCGGCGCCCGGCTACTGACGCAGCGCGGAGCCCAGGCAGCGGGAAGGACCGGCGGGAGGAGGGACCGCGGCGGCAGCGTGCGGAGGAAGAGGCGGGGCCAGGGAGGAAGCGGCTGAGCGGACTGAGGCGGGGGAACGGGGAATCTGCCGCGTGGGGCCGGGGCTGGGGTAAGCGGGGTTGGGGGCGTGTGAGGCCGCGGAGCCGAGCCCTGAGCAGTGAGGGGCTGAGGATGTTGTGTGAAGCCGATACGGGGAGGGGCAGGTGCTGAGGATGTGGGGTGCACCCCTGGGGCACAGGGACCCCAGAGAGGGGCAAGTGCCCTGGATATGGGGTGCACCCCTGGGGCACAGGGACTGGGGTGTGGGGCAGGTGCTGAGGATGTGAGGTGAAGCCTCCCCGGGACACAGGGAGGGGCAGGTGCTGAGGATGTGGGGGGCAACCCCGGGGCACAGGGACCCCAGGGAGGGGCAGGTACTGAGGATATGGGGTGCACCCCTGGGGCACAGGGACCCCAGGGAGGGGCAGGTACTGAGGATATGGGCTGCTCCCCCGGGGCATAAGGACTCCAGGGAGGGGCAGGTGCTGAGGATGTGGGGTGCACCCCCGGGGCATAGGGACCCCAGGGAGGGGCAGGTGCTGAGGATGTGGGGTGCACCCCCGGGGCATAGGGACCCCAGGGAGGGGCAGGTGCTGAGGATGTGGGGTGAACCCCTGAGGCACAAGGTCCTTTGTGTGGGACAGGTATTGAGGACATGGGGTGAATCCTCTGTTACATGGGGTGACCATAGTCATTCATCACAGAGGCTACCCCTCTGATGCCCAGTATTTTTAGTCTCTCTACATATAAAAATATTTTCCTTTTATCTGGTCGTTATTGTGAGCTTTTTCTGAACTAGTGTTCATTGAAAATTTTGCATGGAAACTGTTTTTGACCAAAAATTGTGTTTTCAATTAAGTGAACATTTTTACAGAAAGTGTGTGCTTTCTTTGAAATTTTTTTTAAATATTTCATCAGAAAACTAGAAATGTTTAACTTTTTCCCAGAAAGTTAATTCTTTAATTGTAACACTTTCACTTTTTTCAATCAGCTGTATTGTATACTCTATTTTTGTACCATTCTTTTTGAAATAAGGTGACCAGATCTAAACACAGTATTCCAAGTGAGGACATACCATCAATTTGTGTAGTGTAAATATTTAATGTATTTTTCTATCCATTCTTTGTACACAAATCCTTAAAATCCTCTTCCCTCAAGTACTTAAGGGACTGTTCATGTGAGTAAATTACTCCCATGCTCAAATTCTCTAGGATTGGGGGTCTCACATGTCAACTTTTTTGTTTGATTATGGGTTGTGGTTTTTTTGATGTTATTTTTTGACTGCCATTGCACATGGTTTTGATGTAGAGAAGAGGATTTGTGCCTTAATTTCAGCAGTAATTCTTATACAAAGAGAGACTAAAAATAAGTTTGTCTTTAATTTTTCATGTGTCCCTTATTTTCCTGAAGTGTATGTAGTGACTAGGTGATTTTAGTTATATTAATGTGCCCATCCTAAATTCTATTGTTGTTTTTATAGCATTTTTCATCTGAGATACTTAAAGAACTTCACAAATGATATAAAACCCTCTGAATTTTACCCTATTTATTGATGGAGAAACTGAGGCACAGAGGTTAGGTGACTTCCCCCTGGTCACACAGCAAATTGATGTAAATGGGAATATAAATTCTATTTCCTGAGTCTGATGTCTTAAAACCACAGGTACTATTTTTGCTGTGCTACATATTTATTGGAATAACCATTACGTTTGTAAATAACTAAATGTGATGTGATGCATGTTAAATGAAAAGAAACATTGTCAAATGTTGTCCAGAATTATATTTTTTCCATAATAAAACAAACAAACAAAACGTTTTGCAGAAACTAAGAGCAATGGAAGTGTTTTCATTTTTTGTTTATATTTTCCTGGAAACATGTTTTTAAACAAATACACAGTCCTCTGTAGTGAAACCCAAATTTGTAGCACAGTAAAACAGACTTAGGTGATATTTAGCCCATGTTGGAGAAATTTTAAAAAGTAAATAGCATAATTAGTTAAAGTAAATTGGACTTTTAACGTTTTTCGTTCTAACCAACTAAGCTTGTCTTAGTTCTATAGGTAAATAAATTTGTTTGTTTACAATATCTGCTCTTTAAGCTATGCAGTATAGCAGATGTTGTTAATTATTTGTATTGCAACAGCAGCTAGAGGCCCTAACTGACTCTGGGGCTCTGTTGTGCCTAGTACTAGTATAGAGTAAATGGCAATCCCTCTCCCAAAGATTTTACGCTCTAAGGGTATGTCTACACTGCAATAAAAAGCCTGCAGCACTGGGTCTCAAAGCCTGGGTCAATTGGCTCGGGCTTGCAGGGGTTGGGCCATGGGGCTAAAAATTGCAGTGTAGATATTTGGGCCTCAGCTGGAGCCAGGGACTATTGTGAGGATGATGGATCTCGGAGTCTGTGCTCCAGCCTGAGCTTGAACGGTATACTGCAACTGTTAGCACCACAGTCCGAGGGCATGGCTACACTTGCAGATGTAGAGCGCTTTGAGTTAAACCAGCCTTCGGAGAGTGCAGTAGGGAAAGCACTGCAGTCTGTCCACACTGACAGCTGCAAGCGCACTGGCGTGACCCCATTTGCGGCACTTTCAGCAACATTGGGAGTGGTGCATTATGGGCTGCTATCCCACAGAGGACCTTTTCCCATTCTGTCGCTGTGGCTTGTGGGAAGGGGGCGGGAGGTGCAGGGCATTCTGGGTTCTGTCCCAATGCCCCGCGATGCATCGGTTTGCATTCAAGCAATCCCTCTGCTTCCGTCCACATTTGGTGCCATCTTTTGTGCTGCGCGCTCTGTCTTCCCTTTCGGTCTGCGGGAGTGAAGCCCGAACTTCTTAGGAATATGCTGAGGAATGTCGCCAGCATATCACGTTTGGCAGTCGAGTTACTCCTTAAGATCCAAACTGACAGTGAGGACTCCGACGATGATATCAACTTGATTAACGCATACAACACGAGATTGCTTGTGGCATTCACGGACATGCTCACCACCGTGGAACGCCGCTTTTGGGCTCGGGAAACAAGCACTGAGTGGTGGGATCACATTGTCATGCAAGTCTGGGATGAAGAGCAGTGGCTGCAGAACTTTCGGATGAGAAAAGCCACTTTCATGGGACTGTGTGATGAGTTCGCCCCCACCCTGCAGCGCAAGGACACGAGATTGAGAGCTGCCCTGGCAGTGGAGAAGCAGGTGGCTATTGCAGTCTGGAAACTGGCAACTCCAGACAGCTACCGATTGGTCGCTAACCAGTTTGGAGTGGGAAAGTCTACCGTTGGAATCGTGTTGATGCAAGTTTGCAGGGCCATTAATCACATCCTGCTCAGAAGAACCGTGACTCTGTGTAACGTGCATGACATTGTGGCTGGCTTTGCACAAATGAGTTTCCCTAACTGTGGAGGGGCGATAGATGGGATGCATATTCCAATTCTGGCATCAGCCCACCTAGCATCCAAGTATGTTAATTGGAAGGTGTATTTCTCTATGGTTCTCCAGGCGCTTGTGGATCACCGTGGGCATTTCATTGACATTAACGCAGGCTGGCCCAGAAAGGTGCATGACACATGCATCTTTCGGAACACTGGCCTGTTCAGGAAGCTGCAAGCCGGGACGTTTTTCCCAGACCAGAAGATCACCATAGGGGAAGTCGAAATGCCCATTGTGATCTTTGGAGACCCCGTTTACCCTTTAATGCCGTGGCTCATGAAACCCTACACAGGGACCCTTGACAGCAGCAAGGAGCGGTTCAACAACAGGCTGAGCTGATGCAGAATGACTGTGGAGTGCCCTTTTGGCCGTTTAAAGGGCCGCTAGTACTCTCTGTATGGGAAGCTGGACCTGGCCGATGACAGCATCCCTGCGATTATATCCGCATGCTGTACCCTCCATAACATTTGTGAAGGGAAGAGTGAAAACTTCACTCAGGCATGGACCTAGGTGGTTCAACACCTGGAGGCTGAATTTGACCAGCCAGAGAGCAGGGCTATTAGAGGGGCCTAGCACAGGGCTGCAAGGATTAGCGGTATCTTCAGGGAGCAATTTGAGGCTGAAAGCCACCAGTAATGTCTGGTGTCCTGCACAGCAGTGAAGTACAGTGGTTCCAATGTTAGTAGGAATCTGTGTTTGCTACGCTGACTTGCAGTGCCTGTTGCTTTCCTGGGCTAAGGTATCTTTTACTTCATGCAATAATAAAGAATGTTTTCAAAGCCAAAAAATCCATTTATTGAAAAGAAAATTCATTTATTGAAAAGAAACAGAACTGCTTGGGAAACAGAAAGGGCAAGGGGGTGGGATGAGGAATGGTACAATCACAGATTTGCGTATGTCCTGTTATCATACTCACCCTTCCTGTCTGAAGTGCTGTGCAATGAGTGTTGCACTTCAGGATGGCTATACTGCATGGTGATGGGGGTTGAGTGCAGTGGGTAAGGGTCGTAGTTTTCAGGGCTGGGTGGTGAAACTACAGGTGTTGGAGGCAGCTGGTGGCGATAAGAAACCGGATGTTGGGGAAAGTAGGTTGGAGGTGACATGGGGGCACCAGAGAGAGAGTTTTGGGACAAGAACCGTGGGTGGGGGGCGGGGGCGGTAGTGCTCCACCTGCATGGCTACGAGCGTCTGGATCAAGTCCACTTGGTGCTCCATGATGCTTATTAGCTGATCCGTGCTTTGCTGCCGGAGCACTGCGCTTTTGTGCCAGCGATCCGCATTCTGCTGGCGTATCCTCCTTTCACTCTTCCTCCACTCCTGCGCTTTTAGATTCTCGTTAAGTGAGTGTTGCATTACTTCATGCAGCATGTCTTCCTTGCTTCTACGTGGCCTCTTCCTGAGTCTTTGCAGTTTCTCGGCCGGTGATAACACGGACGGCTGAGATCTCAAGGTTGCATCTGTAAAGGCAAAATGCAACACTTAACAGAGGCAGCATTGTTCACACCAGACAGAGCAATGATTCCCCCGTACTTAAGGAGTAAACTTAAACACAGTCTACACAATAGCATAATTTGCCCATCCCAAAGCAAGCACACATAACCCACGGGAGCCCCAAAATGGTGAGTAAGCACAGGGTCCAGGTGGAATGATTGTTTCATGGCTGTACTGTCCTCTGGGTTTCTGTGCCTTGGGGAGAGCCAACAGCTGTTTTAATGCGCTCTAACTCACAAGTGTAGCCATGCCCTGAGTCTCACAAGCCCAACTCAGCTGCAGCTGTGCCGCTGGTCTTTTATTGTAGTGTAGATGTATCTAAATAGACAAAGGAATGGAGAGAAGGGAGAAGATATAATATACAAGCAGAGTGAACAATATAATGGTTTGAAAACATTGTGTTAATTCTGTGATTTTTTTTTAATGTTTTGGGTGTGGTTTTATAAGGAGGATTAGCTAAAGGACAAGAGAAAGGAATGGTGGTGGTGGAAGGATATATAGGAGAGATAAAGAGGAAGGGGGACATGGAGTGCAGGTACATAAGGCTGATGTGGAGAAACTGTGCAGGAGGAGTTTGATCAAGCAGCCAGTCTGCACAGGGGAGAGAAAGTTAAGCATATGTCTGATGATGTCACTGGTGCCCAAAGGCATGCTGCAGCTGCTTATAAGTTTTAACAGTACTGAGAGAATGATTTCAGCTAGATAATTAAAAGTTTGGCTGACATGACAGTCAGGATGGCTACAGAGCCCTGTCTCAGTCCTACAGCTGGTTTTGTGAGGAAGGAGTCATTTGCAGGATTGGAGTTCACTTTTCCTTACCTGTGTAATTTAACACGCACTTTTGATTATTAAAACTGAAATAACTTAAAAATTAGGGTTGTCAAGCGATTAAAAAAAATAATTACGATTAATCGTGTGATTAAAAATAGTATTCTATTTGAAATCTCTTTGGATATTTTCTACATTTTCAAATATATTGATTTCAATTACAAAACAGAATACAAAGTGTACAGTGCTCACTTTATATTTATTTTTGATAACAAGTATTTGCACTGTAAAAAAACAAAAGAAATAGTATTTTTCAATTCACCTAATACAAGTACTGTAGTGCAATCTCTTTATTATGAAAGTTGAACTTACAAATGTAGAATTATGTTAAAAAACAACAACCCTGCATTCAAAAATAAAACAATGTAAAATTTTAAAGCCTGTGTGAGTTAACTGCGATTAATCGACAGCCCTATTAAAAAATCTAATTTACTTTTCACCATTAATGCTATTTATATTTTGTATTTCTCTTGTCTTGGATTGTGAGAATAGGCACTAATTAGGGCTGTCGATTAATCACAGTAAACTCACGCAATTAACTAAAAAAAATTAATCGCGATTAATCTCAGTTTTAATCGCACTGTTAAATGCTAGAATACCAATTGAAATGTATTAAATATTTTGGATGTTTTTCTACATTTTCATATATATTGTATTCTGTGTTGTAATTGAAATCAAAGTGTGTATTATTTTTTATTACAAATATTTGCACTGTAAAAAACCAAAAGAAATAGTATGTTTCAATTCACCTCATACAAGTACTGTAAGGCAATCTCTTTGTCATGAAAGTGCAACTTACAAATGTAGGGTTTTTTTTGTTACATAACTGCACTCAAAAACAAAACGATGTAAAACTTTAGAGCCTACAAGTCCACTCAGTCCTACCTCCTGTTCAGCCAATCGCAAAGACAAACAAGTTT